AATGCACCATCTGAGAAAATATTTATAATAATTTTGACTTTTAAAATAAATAATAAAGTGTACAATTCCTTCTTCGCCAATTTATTTTGATAATTATGGCCAAAATAGGGACATTTTGCAATTTAGTATAGTCTCTAAAGGACAGAAATAGTATGCAGTTGGAATTTTAATTTCACTAACATTGATTTATTGACATCACGATAAAATTTGATAGTGATTAAATATGTGATAATATAATATAAATATAATTATTTTTCTAAATTTTAATCTATTTTGTACTTTATGGTTGAGTTTGAGACGCTCGAGTGGTCGGAATATTTGATATCGAACTAGTGTTTTTAATATTGTGATCAATAAATTAATGACCATTTTGTAATTAATCAATGCTAGATATTATGTTCCAAATATACCTGATTTTATTGTATTGATTGCTGATGTGTAAATATTTCATATAAATCTAATGTTAGGGGGATGCTTGGCCACCACGGCTTCTATTGACACCGAAAGTATTTTGCGCCTAGTGAGCTAATTCTCTGCGGGCGTCCCTGCATAACATTATAGTGCTTAAATTTAAACGTGTTGATAATAATTACACATAATATTGTACACTGTCTAAACTGTTACAAAAATATGGGCTGTTGTGACCAACCTAAAGGTTGTAAGGAATTAAAAAGATTAAAATAATATATAATATATAACGTATGATTATGGCCAGAATGGTAAAAACAATTTTTAATACAATATTTAACTAAAATGTATGATACTTGTTATTAACCACGTATTTTCATCAATTAATATTATTTACAATAATTTTATAATTTAATTTTTGGGTTTTAAAAACATGACATTCAATCATATTTAAATTTAATGTTTATTATATAGGATTAACAAGATGTATTAGGTATAGGCACTAATGTTTACGAGAGAGCACAAATTCCAAAACATAATAATTTTTTCAATCTGAATTTGGCACACAACGCCAGTCACATAAAATTATAAAAATAATTATGAAATGAATTGTCATAATGAGACTAAAATAACATTTTTCTGACAATGCAATAACTGTCAAATCATCCAAAATTGGTTTTCTAAAAATACATGTGAAATATCCATGTCAGTATCCTAACTTGCGTCATCACCAGTTTCAGTGTTTTCAGTATACTTCTCCCAAACATTTTATTCTCACCTGCGTATCGCTGAGAAATTGTCAGAAACTAACATGATACATATTATTATACATAAAAATATATAACTTAATATAAGTGTAAAAAGTCTCGTCTGTTTAATTTAATATAAATTATTCGCAACTGTTGCATCTGCCAAGATGATTTCATCCTGCATTCCGAACTAAAGTAAAATATATATTAGACAGCTTTGTGTATAATACCCTTTTACCCAGTTAAATCTAGAAATTTGTATGTATTAGCAATTAAGATGTCAATTATAATAATTGCAAAAAAACCAATTCCAAAGAACTGTATAATATTATTTAATGAAAATGTAATATCAGACTTTTCAATAAGAAAACGTTATTCAACTATTCATATTTTAAAGGTAAATGAAATGTTAATATTCAAATCATTACGAATTACTATAAATCGATTTTCTGAGCACGGTTTTCTTAAACTTAGCACAATATTAAATGTCATATAGATGTAGACTATTCACGCAAAAAAAAGAACTGTCGACCAAAACAATGAGGACTTTGGCAACAAACCTAGTGTTGTTCAAATTGCAACGCTATCATTGATTGATAGTGTCGATCATATAATAATTCATTATATAAGGAGATGCCTTGTTAACAAATTTTAAATAATATAAATATATAAAAAAACAAACAGACCACTGTCAAATACACGTGTACAATTACAAACAATAATGAGGTAAGTATACACAGCTCAGTACCTATGTATTATGCGTCCTAAACTTGTTACTATATATTATAGTAATATATATTATTTATACATTTTGTACGTCTATCGCTGTAGGCGTTTTAGCAATCTAAATTTACCGACGTGACAATCTTATGTATGGAAAGAGAAAAAGAGATAGGCTCCTGTCGGCGGCCGTGGGCTTAAATGACCCCGCGAGGCCCGAGAAGAATAACAAAACGACAGATTATCCGGGCAAATTGGTTTATGGGCGGTGGACCTCTTTCGGGCGTCGAATAATAAATATGTGTTTTCGGTCGACTAGCCAGAGTATAGTCGTCGGGTGTTTGTGTGTGTGTGTGCGTGTGTGTGTGTGTACATATAATACATATATGCGGCCACAGGGTGTTAGACATATATATATATACACACAAACACTAATCTATCCCTCCACCCCCCTCGGTATGACGCGTATATATATATATGTATGCAGAGTACACTTACACCGTTACACACGTATATAATAATAATATGTAATATGGGGTGAGTGGAGGAGAAATAAGGTTTTTTTGTCCTCGCACCCTTCACGTAGTCGTATCATATTTTTAGGGAGCTCGTGCGCTGATTTCACGGGGCGCCGATCACGAATATGCTCGACGACTATTATACGACGACTATATAATAATATTATAATGTATATACACGTACGCGTGTATTCAGTGTTACATGGGAATTCGCACTTGTTGTGTACGCCGCGCGTACAACAATGATTATGCTAATGGACACCCCGATAACAATAACGCTCTAAATTATTGCCCATTAAACATCAACCGCGCCGCAATTGTATATAATATAATATAATATAATATAATAATATTATATAATAAACAGCGTATATGCGTGTACACTTTATATCCCCGCACCCGCCAATGTCATATTTTTAACGGCGTAAACACCCAGTTTTTCATATTGCGCAATATAATATAGGTACCTACAAAATCGACTGCTGCAGTCGAATTTTCAATGTGTTATGATGGACAGAGAGATCATTATAGGTATTATAGGATATATCCTTTGATATATTATGTATATCAGACAGTGGTGGCCTTTCATATTTCTACAAATATCTGTTTTGAGCGTAAGTATCTATTTAATTGAAAACCATCAAAAAAAAACTCTGAAATCTAACGGCACGACATCTCAATAATAATAGGTAGGTACCGGGATATCGGGATACCGCGACCGCCCCAACATAATATAGTATATAAACCAGCTAATAATATTTGTACACCTCGCATCGATCTTGTAAAATCGTACATTTTCTCTATAAAAACAAAATCGAGTGAGCTAAGTTGTTGAAAACTTCTTTGTAAATTAATACAAAACTGTCTACTCTTTTAAATTCGAAATTCAGACAAAGTTTAACGTTTATATTACTTATCGTCGACAAGTCGCGTATTGATACGTACACTGCAGTATAACATTTTCATTACACTTCAACATTATAAGACAAATCATTATTAGGTATAAATAGTTATTATATTTTTGTTTTATATATTACTCAGTACAAATATTTGAAAAAACACTTGTATATTTATTTCAAATTAAAATTAGGCGTTTTCCCTGCTAATGAATATTTTTTTTTATTTTGCATAATTTCCCAATCTAAATATTATACAAGATTGTGAAAAACATAAAAAATATCTATTAGAAACATAAGTTATTTTTGTTTTATATCATTTGAAAGTAATAAGTGTTGACTACTGCTGAGTACAAATAGTATTACTCTATATTCTCGAGTATATAATATGAGTACTCATTACAATATATATAAGTGAGTAATTCAGACGTTTGAGAGTAAAAAATCAAATCATCAATTTGGATATGAGATTTATAAATTGGCAAAATATGCTCTAAAACCGCAACATTAGCTTAAAAAAATTCGCTCGAAACAGTTAAAAATGCAGACATGTAAAATTAATTTAAAATTTTATCATTGTAATTCACATCAATTGTATTATTAGTTATTACTATCAAACATAATTTTTCGTGTTTAAATAGCAGTTAGCAATATTTTATATTTTATCTGTTGACAAATAAGTGGTATTGAAAACAAAATTCTAAAGGTTTTTTGAATAAGTCAAATTATTATTAGAATCGCCATTTACCAATACAAAAAACTTGAATGCTAATCGCGACTGTCGAATTGTAAAAAAAATCATTAAAATGTGAGTATTGTAATAAAATAAACTCAAAACTTTAAATACGCTAAATGCACTTTCGTATAAGTACCTACCTAATACTGACGAGTTATGCAAAACAAGTTTTGTCTTAACTTGATTCCTCCTATACATTATATTGCATATAGGTAGTAACCCAAAACTCATAATATTATGATTGCATATTAAATTCTTGATTATAACTTATTATTAAAGTAAGCGATCCTCTTTTGAACTATAAATCGGCTGTTGATATTTATACTTAATCTTATCCATTTAAAGCAGGCGTGTCAAACACGCGGCCGGGCCGGCGGCTCCCGGCTCATTTTTTAAGGCTACTGTAAAGACTACTGTACTTAGCAACTGTAATGAATAACTAATTGAAAACAAAATATAGCTTTCGTATCACAACTATGTAGTGTGAGGTTTCATTAAGTTACTTCTATGTCTTATCTGCCGATAAACTAAGTTAGTAAGTATTGTATATTTTATTGTAACTTGTAAGTAATGAATACAACTAAAAATGTGTATAAAATGTTTTAATTTCGATGAATTTGTATGGGTGGCTCGCATATAGTAAACTATTCAATATAATTGGCTGAGTTAATAATTTGAGTTTGACATGAACGATTTAAGGAGTAGTTGTTTGGTTGTATGGGTGATAATAATATATGAGCTTTAGTATTGTACTTACATACAATTAAGTAAATTTACTGAAAAATGAATACCTAAATAATGTGATATTGTGTATAACTTTGATGAAAGTGCGCATTATTTTAAGTCTAAAAAAAGACTATACATATTAATATATATTTGTTACGGCGATTTTTTTTGATATCGTCGTACTTACATAATTTACAATATAATAATAATAATCAATACAAAATGATTATAACACTATACTACGCACCTCTCTTAAGTTTTTCCAACGGTTCGTGGTGCAACAGTGACGGCGGACACGGCACTGCCGTGTGATGATGATGGTGATGACTGTCGTGATGGTGCACGTGGTGGTGTCCCAGCATGCCCTGGTGCAGTCCGGCACTGCCGTCGTGCACGGGATGGTGAAAGGATGCGGGTGATGCGTGCTGTAATGCGACGTTATGGTGATCGGAACCCGTTGACGACACCAAGTCTTGAAGACACAGACTTGGGTCGGTCAGGTTTTCCAGGCGTTCCATCATTTTTGAGTTTTTTAATTATAGATTGTCGCTTATCAAAGGCCAACGACCATTACCGGATTCAAATGCGGGAAGTGAACACTCAGTTGAAATCTGCAACCAACCACAAAATATTCACAAACAATATTAAAGCGATAATATACCTAGGTATGTGCCTAAATTCGATGCGCATTGCAACAATATACGCCTACTATATCATTACACAATAACTCGATGAAGTTGCATATAACTATAGATAGATAAGTAGTTATTATTTATGGGAACCCATCATTAATAATTAAAACCATTTGCAGGAGCTGCTCGCGAATCACGCGACTTCTGATTACTCATAATACATGATAATATTATATAAATATATAATAAGTATAATATTTGAATTTTGAATATTATACATTTTGTCTGTATAATATATATAACATATACATCATAATGAGGCTATAGTAATATAATATTTTGTAGGTGTATACCATAGTTCAAAATACACGTTTTACTAGTTTGAATAATATTATTATAAAAGTAAATTGATTGATATAAAAGAGTTTAATTTCTACCTTAAGAAAATAAAAATACTTACAGATAAATAAATCGAACTGTTTTCATAGATCGGATAAATAATAACATTTTAACTATAATCACAAGGTTTGTATAAAAAATGTTTTAAAGTATTGTACTTTTCAGCCCATAAATTATGACGAACATTAAACAATAAAAATATAAAAATCAAAATTTTTTAAACTAGTTTAATAATAATTAATTATACAACTAAAAAAAATGTTACTAGGTATTTATTTCGACAGACATTTATACAGATTGCAGTAGTACAGGTATATGCGTACTTATAACAATGCCAATCATTTACGGTTTTAACAATATTGGTATCGTCAATTTCTATAATATAATATCTTGACTGACGTCTAGTACCTATAGTTAAACAATGAGTACCAACCCAAGTATTATGTAGAGCCGTAGAGGAGTGGTTGTGATAAAATATATTTTTTGTCCACATGATAAACACGCAAGTTCTTAATATTGCTCTATTCTATACATATATATATATATTAATTTAATAACTGAATAAAAACGCAATAATATAGGCATACGCCATAATAACTTACAATATATTCTATATCTTTATTTAATCGTCAAGTAGATTAGATTATATACAATTAATTGAACGATCATTGAGAACAAAATTACAAAATTTTTATGTAGCGCAGCCTGCAATAAGATTAATAAAACAATGCGTATGCATATTATGTATATTTATACCAACACTCCAGGTAAATATTGATAAATCCAAACGATTTTTATGGTTTTATGTGTGCATAGATTAAAATGCTTCAACAGAAAAATCATGACTAAACCTTCGTAAGCAAGAGAAAATCTAAGAATTATTCACATAAAAGAAAATGCAATCATAAAACATGCATTTAAAGACTCCGAGGCTTTGTTTTATGATTCTAAAATCTCGAGTTAATCAATAAAACTTAAGTTGTCCATAGTAAATAATATTTATGTCCCTAAAAATGAATATGTATACAGATAAATTTCAAAATAAGAATTCAAATGTATATAAATGTATATATTTTTTGGGGGTATTAAGGGGGGGGGACAATGTATATATGTATTATAAAATAATTTTAACGTGTTTACAATGGAAAATATGCTATACAAATTTGCTACGAAAATTATCATGTGTCCCATGAATCGTGTTTAAACGATAACACAAAAAACAATAAAGAATAAAATAATATAAATTATTCAAATATTTAATGAGTAGGTGAGTACCAATTTATATCGATGACCTTTTTTTAAAACGAATTATATTGAGTCCTTGTAAATCGAATTAAGCCAATCACATAAACATAAATTATACACATAGGTGCATGTCTTACCTGAAAAGAGAATAATTTTATCGTAATTCCACACTGTAATTTATTTACGTCATAAAAAAAACGTTCATACTCAAAGTTTATCTTTTAAAATTTTAAACACCTTTACACTATTATACACATATTTCTATGAGACTATTTGAATATTTGTATTTTTTGAATGCAAATCTAGTAAATAATTTATGCATAGATAAGTACTATTTGTACAGTCTACCTGCTATAATAGGCTACCTACGAATAGTTTTCATATTATTTTTGCACTGCAACTCGATCACTTAAAAAATAAACCACATATATAAAAGATACAAAAAATTATAAATAAGTACCTCTGTCGCTTAAAAATATTTTTGTTGTCATACTCTATGGTTATATAATATTTACCTAATCTATATTCCCGCCCAAAAAAAATAAAATCTGTATTATATATTATATGCGTATAAGTAGACTGTATACACAAAAAACATGTTCAGCAAAAAATATAAAGTAGGTACCAATTTTAATATAAACACTTATTATTCTTAACATTTCAAAAGCTAACTGAATCTGAATTTGAAAAAAATAAAAAATAAAACCTATAGATACAACATTTTACTATTATAAAAATATGAGTATATATAGGTACACTTTCTTGTTATTTGTGAATTTAGTAAAAAATTTACAGTTAACAATAACATTATTGAAATAATTTGGTATTTTTATAGAATCAAATATTCTTATTTTATATTTAATATGTACTTAATAGTTAATATTATTCACAACCACGCAATGGCAAAGAGAATACAAATAAAGGAAAAACTATTTGAGCCACTATCTAGGTCCACCTATATGAATATAATATGATCAATATTTATGTATCATCAACATTTTTAAAAGGTTTTTTCTATATTCTTATAATCGTTGGGTTGATCAATATTAAACATACAATTATGTTTAAAGTAGATATGTGATTAAAAAGGAAATAATAAGTTAAATATGTATAGCTATTACCTTAGATATTTTTGATACCTCTCTAGATAATTTTAGATTTGAGTCAAGCATATTAATATATAATTATTACAATACAAAAAGAACATTGTAAACTACCAACTACTTTAACATAATCATATGAGTATAGGTAATTTAACTATTAAATTCTAAAAATGTAATCTTTGTTAATATTATTATCCTATATGTTATTTAATTTGCCTTGTATTGTTATATATTAAGTTACCTGTGCATACCACATCAATTACTGTAAAAAATCTGGTCCCGGTAAATTATAAAAAAATAAATAAAAACTATGAATTTTTCTTTGAACTAGAGACTAAAGTACCTATACCTACCTAGTTAATATATTATAATGGCAATAATAACCGTTGTGTGTATAAATAGTTTAATAATTATAATGTGCATAATAAATACACTATATAGTATATATATATAATATAAAATTAGTTATAAAATCAGTAATCCTGGTTCGTGATGTATAGCAGTGCCAATATTTTAATGAAGTTTTTTCTTTTAATTCGATATGTGATTAATAGCCTTTCTTTTACGATGGTTCTCGACAAGAACAAAAAAAACCTAAGACAAAAGCCTAAATAGCCTAAATTTATTTTAATATAAAAATAAATTATCTGACTTTTCAGTTATTGCGCATTGCTGCAGTATAAAATATTATAATATGCGTTAAAAATAATTTTTTTTAAATTCATGTCTACACAATTCGAGGGTGAACGATAAAAATATAGTAAATACCTCATTTATAATATAATATATTATTTTAATACGTTATATTGTTGAAGCTTTAATCCTCCTGCAGCAGCCGCGGGAACGGAAAAATTGTCTGTCCGCCGCTACTAAGCTCATCCGTCGTGCGCTGGTGACGCGGACCGCGACATATAATTATTTTATTCTATATCATATACGCACCAGATCGGGTCGGGGACCGCAACGGACGACGCCGTACACACGACACACACGATATAATTGATGAAAATTAATCGGAAAACGATATATTAATAACGTACCTCGAAAATGGTGGGCAATATATTATACAATTTTGCCCGGTGAAAACCGCGATTTACGGTCCCGAAAACGCACGTGCGGAATATACGCGGCGGCGGCGTTGGGTTAGCAGGACGCACCACGCACGGTACCTATGAATTATTATACCACAGCTTGTCTGTTAGAACGGTAACAAAATAAATTATAATTATACGACGATGAAGATGAAATACAATTTTAACGAATTTACTCACTTCGGAAAAAAAACCTACGAGATCACCAACGACTTTTCGGGATCATCGGACGTTATGACTTGTGTACACTTAAATGACAAATGTACACAATATAAGCGGGCGCGTCTGTCATAGTCGTATACTGTAACAGTGTCGCGGTCGTCTGCACCGCACGCAGAAGATGTTTTATTACTTTTTATTTTGTCAATTTTATTTTAGAATTTTAGATACATACTTATTTTATACGTAATTGTTGATACGCGTAAGAAGTTCAGTAATATTATAAGGTATACACTTAATATTGAAAATCCTGATTACCTATCTTATTTAATCTCATTTTACGCGTACAAACTACCTACACGGGTACACGATCAACACTGATAATGAAGATTACTATGACAATAATACGAGTATAGTTTTATAACATTAGATATTATTAAATAACGACAAATAATGCTCTCGACTTACCGATTGACTTTTGATGCGTTTATGCCCGTCATGCAATATTTCGTTCCTTCGCTTCGAAAACAAAAAAAATCCAAAATTTCGTACGGCGCGAAATAACGAATTAATAAATATTATTGTAACCGTATACGATTATAACATAATAATACCGTTGATCCGACTCGAGTGAAATATAATCGTCACACACACGCACGGAAACGGTCCGTACTTCGCACAATGTATGTCACGTGTAAATATTATGTATATTATTATTATATTTTATTATATTATATATACTATAATATGCAAGTTTACAATATAATAATATATATTTAAGTGCAAGCAGTATGTAGTATATATAAATATATTTGTATATTATTATAATAATAATAATAATAATAATAATAATACGTGAGAGCCGGCCGCGCGGAGTTTTAAAGTTAAGCTAACAAATTGACCTCAGATTAGGTCGACTATCCGCGGTTTGAGCCCCCCGGCTTTGAGATATGGGAACCGATCGGCGGCGGCGGCGGCAGTGGTGGCGGCGGCGGCCACCATCCCGGGTAATGGGCGGGCCGCGCCGCGTCTGGCCCACTCGGGCGGCGCTTGCGCTCTCTCGCCCCCGATCGCCGCCGCCACCGCCACGTATACGCGCTCGACACACGTACGGTATTTTCTTTTTTTCTCCCCCCCCCTCCCCCCCTGTATACTCTTTCGGTCCCATCACACGTCCTACCCACTCACCCGACCACCCACACCCTCACACAGACCCTCTGCACCCGCACTGCACCTCGAGAGTGTACCTATATGCGCTCGGCAAACGGGTTCATTTGTTTTACGGTTTCGCGCTCGTACGCCGTCTTGTCCGCAGACGATTTTTCATACGATATTATTACCGCACCCCCTGCCCGCACCCTACGGTCGACGGTCGGACCGCCGCCGCCGTTGTTTTTGCCGATGTCGCGAGCGAAGGTCGTGCGCCGCTTTAATAATAATATACTAATAGTAATAATAATAATAATAATAATAATAATAATAATAATAATAATAATATGATATTATGTCCACCTTCGCCACCGCCACCGCCGCCGCCGCTGCTTCAAACTTTGCCGAAAAACGACGTGTTTTTACGTTATAATAATTATTTACGTCGCGTCAACAAAGGCTGCCGCTAGCACTGTCACTGTACCAGTACGATGCGCACAGCGGTGCGCGCGCTTCGACCCTCGTCAAATTTCGTGAGCGCCACACCGACGAAAACATAATATAATATTATTATTATTATTATTATTATTATTGTTGTTGTTGTTATTATTACTATTATTGCGATTGCGTTTTCTACGATGAGTATAATTCACAAAACGATATTATTATTATATTAAATATTATAATATTAGTTTATTCGTGTACGAGTTCATATTATATTATTTAATACTATATTGCAGAGTTTTAAGTTAGGGGTTAGGCGGGATAGGGGGGGGGGGTAATTTAACTCTTTTTAAACTATGAAAAGCCATGTTCCCGGAGCCCAAAATTACACGACCCGAATAAAAATCTAACTTTGCTTTTCCCAAAACGGTATATAGATATAGCTGTGCATGTATATAATATATGGTTAGGGTAACCGATGTAGGTACCTACCGCAGTCACATGTATATAATAATATATTATGTTATACGGGTAGGTACCTATGTATACACCATATAGGCACAAATCACTACTCAATTTTATTTATTATTATTACAGGTATATAATACTTATGTCGTATATACATGCATTGTACATAATAATATAAACGCATAGTGTATAATAATTGCACTGAACCCTATACATAAGACTAACAAATAACAATATAATAATAATAATATAACCACGCGGGTATACCGATAAATTCGCGTGTGCGGTGCAGTATTAAATTATATATACTTGTCGTAACACGGCAGGGAATTTACAATCGTTTAAACTAACAATAATGTATGGCATACGCTTCAAGTAAACGAGAGAGTAAAACTGTATATCATTTATAGTACTTACTATATATACCCCTACGTAACTAACTACCCATCTCCAAAATCTCTACATATATTATATACTTAATTTTAATGTTAAAATTTAATATTTAAATTAAATTAAATTTATTTAAAATAATAGACTTGATATTAAATTTTAAATACTTGGTTCTTGAATTTTGTATGGTCGAAAATAATTCATTGATTTTCTTAAATTTATTTTGTTTTTAAACAAACGCGTTATCAAATGAAGCTTTTCGCTCAATACTAAACTTGACTTGAATTAAAATTTTTTTTTCATCTACCGACTTCGATATAATATATTATTATGTATACGAATACATAAAATGGAATTATTAAATTTTTCTCCTTTTGCGATTAAGATAAAAGTTAACCACTACCTACCTATACTATTGCGAGTATTAATTAAATTTAAAAAATATATTATATACAATTTCTATTTTATAAAAATGAAATTGTATTATCATAAAACGGTTTGGAAAAATGTAAAATTATGTTTAAAACTTCTTTTGCATCAAATTATTAAAACTATCCTATTGTACCTATATAATATAATATATAAATATAAAAAAGCTAAAATATTTTTAATCCTTCTTCGTATGACAATAAATTGTACCTATATATCATCAATATATATTATATATATAATTTCAAGTAGCACAAACTTTTAATATGCGTTTGAATAAGTTTTAATAAATGTATAATAAAAATAATTTAGTTAGCTAATACATTTTCCAAATATTAAACAATTTTTAAATATAAAAATGATTTTAAAATATAAATACGCAATGTACAATTTTTATTCGTGAATTAATAGGTTTTATTCAATAGGTATGTTTATCTTTTTATAACATACATTTTAAGAGCATATTGAATATTTAGGTATAATTACCTACAGGCTACGGTATCATAAAACAATTATTTGCTGACTATCACATATTAGATAAATAAAAATATTGAAATCAATTACGATACTCGTACAGGTAAATTTATAATAGATCAAGTACATAGAATAAATAGGCACTAAAAAATTTATCAGAAATTAAGTACTTATATGAATAATAAATGTATTAGTATATGTCATTTCTAAAAATATTTTTACTATGAATTATAGGTAGTACTTAATAGTTAAATAATTGACGCCAAAGTTAAAGTTTGAAAAAACTTTCAGCGTAATTACAATGTCAATATTGTACATTATAATAGATAATATATAATAACATTCTTGAAATAAAAATTTGAAACTTTAATTTGTTTTTAAAATCAACGTACATTTTATATTTTATAGTGACATCCTAAAAATATAATATTATTATTATTTATAGCATTTCCATTTGAAAGGATCATAATACAATTTAAGCCAAATTCTTAAAATATAGATAAGTGATCAAGGTATTCAAGGTTATTAAACTGTATGCGAGATGAAGTATGATACCTAATATTTAGACTAGAATAAATAAGGGGGGAATAGGTATATATAATAAATTGAAAAAAACTGCAGTAGGCCACAACGAAAAATCGTTTGAGATCAACTGTGATCCGCTGGTATTAAGTCGGCTTTACAACTCGAAAGAAAAACACTAATAAATCCCACTTACTTCTCACTACTGTGTTTTAACTGAGGAACTCGTGCGAATTTTAATTGCTGTTTAAATTAATTTATCCCGTGATGATTCTTTAAGCGAAAACACAAATTGATTCAGAGCAATCATTGACAAATTGTAACATATCAGTGCTAATTTCTGAGTAAATATTTTCAAGCTCTGCCTACCTACCTACAATGGGTATATACCATATATTTATAAATATAATCAATATTAATTATATTGGGGTAATAATGTTGATAATTGGATTTTAGCACTGTGAAGTTATGGTCAATGGGCCGCTGCTCATAATTTCTTATTCCTTATTTCCTTATTACATGAAACTTATTTAATAACAACAAAAATATGATGATTATTTGGATTTTTACTAATGTAATATATTGTGCTAAATTATACCAACTATTAGATCAATTACAATATTTTGTGTAAGGCAATAAACGAATATTATGTAGGCATAATATAGGTACCTACAACATTATATGTATTTTTGCACATAATTTGGTAATTATTTATAATGTTATATAGCCATGGTACAGTACCAAATATTCCAATAAAAAATATAAAGTTTAGTGTTTTTATGCACCAACACATTTTAAAAAAGTATTATTTTTTTTTTAAATTTATATTTAATTATATATAGGTACAGTAGGTATTTACAATGTTAATTAAAATTAATTTACTTTTATTAACTAATTCTATCCTTAAGTATTTTAAAATTAGAAATTATAATTAAAGTAGATGTATAGTTTATTTGACTTTTTTTACATTTTAACTACATTATATAAAATGATAAGAGACAGTTATATTATTATTTTCCTAATATAAAATAGGTTTTATGTATAATTATATTTCCAAAGCATTCAAATTCTATGAAGATAAAGAATAATTTTGTTTTAAAAATTATATTATCACTGTGAGCTATATTAATTATACAAATCATAAAATAACGCTTCTATATTGCTGCAACATTGTCAATTTTCATATAATTTATATTTTATTAATTTATATTTTTACGTATACATACCTACCTATATTTATTATTTTGTTTTAATATGTAAAGATGTTATGGTTGCAATAAAGTTATTATTATTATTATTATTATTATTATTATTATTA